ATACTCATACACATTCATATATACACACACACACACATATATATATATATATATATATATATATATATATATATATATATATATATATATATATACATATACATACATATTCATATACACACGTACAAACATACATAAATATATACATACACAAACACACGATGGGAAATCGTCTGACATCCACTTACAGCCCCGATTTAGCCCCATCTGACTTCTTTTTTTTTCCAAACTTAAAAAAATCTTTGAAAGGAACCAATTTTCCATCGGTTGAAGATGTAAAAAGAGCTACTCTGACATGGTTCAGATCACATGACGCTCAGTTTTACTCAGACGGACTTCATTGCATTGACCTTAATGGAACATATGTTGAGGAAGAAACATCATAACTGAAACTGTTTTTTTTTTCATACTGTCCTTATTCCACGAACTTTTTGAAGCCCCCTCGTAGCCTATTAACTATTTACATCTCAGTTAAACTATCAGATGATAACACGTGCTATACCCTACATTGTGTTATCTATCCAGATTATTCGTATAGAAATAAAGTAAACAGTTTTTGAACGATAATGTCACGTCACTCTGTGATGTCAGGTATGATCAGTTTCATATGTTGGCAAGTGTAATGTGCATTATTATACATGACATGTTATTAAATTAAAATAAACCTCATTTATTTGCATTGTAAACACACGTGACAGATTCCATGAAGCGCCAGTCATGTGTACTTTGGAGTTAATGACGACTCACCTAATGTGACATGCATGTTATACATGAATCCGTATGCTGAATGTATATACATATACATATATGTATGCCAATATCTATCTACCTGCTTGTCTAGTTCTCTAACTACCTACCTACTTATCTATGTAATATATGTATATATATATATATATATATATATATATATATATATATATATATATATATATATATATATATATATATATATATATATATATATATAACGCAGGTACCGTAAGGGAAGTCACCGCCGTGGAACGTGTTAACAGCGGTTGATTAGGAAGGGCATCCAATCAGGCAAGGGTGACACTGCCATGTAACCTCTCAATAGTGAATTGAGAGAGGCCTATGTTCTGCAGTGGACTGAATGGCTGTTAAAAAGAAGAAAGAAAAAAGAAAAAAGAAAAGAAAAAAAAAAAAAAAAAAAAAAATATATATATATATATATATTTACAGAAATATATACATAGATGTCTGTTTGTGTCTGTATGTATCAATTTAGTCCCTATATCTGTAGATAGAACTACATATAGCATATATGATTTGTCCCTTTCCTTATTAACAACATTCTTGACAACAGTTATGCATATTTGGGCCACTGGTTCAAAATATGTTTAATTGGAAGTCTGGATAATTGGCTGACATGCAATTAGATATTTTTTTTTCAATCCCTTCTTTTTAAAATCACAAATTGCTCGTAAGTGAGTCAACAAGCGATAATGAGGTGCCGATCTCCGTCCTAACGAGTGAGTTAACGAGTGAGTGAGTGAGCTGAGAATTTACCCAGTGCGTGTGTTCGGATCGGTGCTCAGACTTAGTGATATTTATTGGTGCGGAAAGGAACGCATAAGGACAAAGACGAAATGGTGACAACTCGACTGGCAGTTAATATAACATCACGCATGCTTTGGTACACGAAGATTTGTTATATGTTGTGTGATATAATTGCTCTCTCTCTCTCTCTCTCTCTCTCTCTCTCTCTCTCTCTCTCTCTCTCTCTCTCTCTCTCTCTCTCTCTCTCTCTCACACACACACACACACACACACACACACACACACACACACACACACACACACACACACACACACACACACACATACACACACACACTCACACACACGCATATATATATGTATATATGTTTGTGTGTGTGTGTGTGTGTACATATGCACATATCAGGTTTAGATTTTTTATATAAATGAATTATAACCCCTGATTGGAGCTATTTATTAGTAATTATAAGAGCCTTCTGCCATGGGAGTGTCGACAATAATTGCATTCTCTGACCTGTAAATAAATGTTTGATGCTATTCCACTGTCATGTATAATTCGTTTAACAGATGTTTTGGGCAAATTTTCGCTTGCAAAATCGGTGGACATCTTTTTTTTAGCTCTTTTCCTTTGACAAAAAAGGTATTGTTATATTTAAACGCACTGAGAGAAAAAAAAACGTATTGATGACAATCGTTTGATATCAAGCCTTCCTGTTCTCGTCTTAGGTATGCAAGGGACTCAGCTTTTATTCATTTATTTCCTGTCCAGATGCTGGCCTACTCAGGTGATAAAAAAAAGAAAAAAGGAAAAAAATCTACAGCCTAGTTAATTTATCTATCTCGTCTACCCTAGTGTGAAAATACGCAACTAAAGTGATTAAAGGACTTTAAAAAATAAGGGCGTAAGTGTATATTTCACCCTCCTCTGTTTAATTGGTGTATGTAAACTTAACACTTAATTAACGTATACATTTCTCCTTATTCTTACTTTTTTCTGCCTAGGTGGTAATTAGGTGGTCTATAAGTTGCTTCGCTTCTCTATCTTCTCTGCCAAGGTGGTGCATGCTGTTGTGGTCTGTTGTTTCTGGAAGTGATTCGCTATCTCAGATTTTTCTTCAGTTATTCTTTCCCTTTTTTCTGTCGAGTTGTGATTTGGGTGATTTTTTCTTCTTCTTCTCTGTCTACGTGGTGTATATGGGACTTTTGTTTCAGGGAGTGCAGTTGAACTCGTTATTTTACCTAATGGTTGTTTCTCTCTCTATTTTCATCTTATTCTCACTCTCTCTCCCTCCCTCCCTGTTTCTCTTCACCTGATTTAATATGCATTTATTTCACTCTCCTATCTCTCCCCAGGTGGTGTACAACGGACTAGACGTGTTCCGGGAGGTGCAGGAGGACCCGAAGTCAGCTGACGTGTACGGCGTGGAGTGGATGTGTTCGGACGAGTTCGACGCTCCAGCCGACACAGCCATTAGCTTCATTAAACAGGGGGCTTATGTGGCCTTCCAAGACTCCTACCCAAGGACGGGAGGATCTATCAGGATGGAGGTCAAGACGCAGAAGGAGAACGCGCTGCTCATGTATAATACGGGGCCTCCGTCTAGGTAGGGTGATGGAGATATTTATTTTTATTTTCATTTTCTTTAGATTTATTGTTGTTATTATTTATTTTGAGGGTATATTATTGTTTATTGGTGATGTTCGTATGTTGTTGTGGTGATGGGGCGGTAGATATATGAGGATACGTTGTTAGCGTTATATTTTTTTTCTCTTATTATTTATGGTTCTTGTCATTCGTCATATTGATGTATTTTTTTCCTCTTTATATTGATGGTCCTTGTCATTTATCATGCCATTAGGACGTTGGCCAAGAATCCTCTATATATTAGGAATCATTTTGTTTTTTTCTCTCGTGTTATTTCTGACTTTTGATGTCTGTGAATTATTACACCCATCATTGTCGAAATCTATTGTTATACTGTTTTATTTTACCATCACAGGATTTATTCACTCTCCAGACGTAGTTCCTAGAAATTACATAACTCCCACAACTTCAACAACCGTAAAATCAGACGACCACATTTCTCGAGAAATTGCTCTCACAACCTAAGAGACGTTCCACTGAATTTCTGAGTCAGTTCCCTCCCCCTTTCTCTCCCTCTCTCGGCAATGTCGCGAATATAGATCTGAATTCAGACTTAATAGTTTTGGTGGGCGAGAGTACTGATTAATGTGATTGATTTAGGACTAATTAATGGCTTGATTAGGACCGAACTCCTAATGGCTTGATTAATGAGCTGGTGGTAATAAGGTTACGTCAAGTGTCCTGAAGTTGCTGCGTTCAGAGCCCGTGATGAGGATTCACTGGGCTGAGAGGAGGAAGTGAAGCAAGTGTGCCTCGGTTTGACTTCGGGCTTGAGGCTTGGAGGGAAGTTGGGCGGGAGAGAATTGGAAGAAGACGGGGAGAAAACGAATGAATAAGGATAAGGAAGTACAAGATGGAAGAGAATAATAAAGAGGAAAGAAGAATATGTGAAAAAAAGGAATTAAAGAGAAAGAGAACAAGAAAGCATGTTAAATTTAGTGTTTTCATATATTTATATATATGTATATATATTACTAAATATATATATATATATATATATATATATATATATATATATATATATATATATATATATACATGCACACATACATATTACAATATATATATATATATATATATATATATATATATATATATATATATATATATATATATATATATATATATATATATATATATATATATATATATATATATATATATATATATATTACTAAAGATATCTTCAAGAAAAGGGGAACAAAAGAAAACAACGAAAGGAAGGGATAGGAGAATGAGAATAACTGGAAGAAATAGTATAACTATAAGAGGAATAAGAAAAAAAACATAAAAAAGATAGAAAAAAGAAAGAAATAGAAATAGCGAAGAAGACAACGAAAACGAGCCTAAAATTTAAATAGGGAAAAAGACAGAAAAAGAAAAGGAGTTATGAAACATACACACAAACAAACAAACAAAAAACATAGAAATAACATACGCGATAGTACTACGCTTTAGCCCACAGTCATGTACTAGGATAAAACGGCCCAGATAACGCCGGGGAGCAAGATATACACCAGAAATAAAAGCCCTATTGTGAGATAAGAGTAGCTGATAAGGTCACGTAAGGTCATGTGTTCATATAAGACGGTCATATGAGGTCGATTCTTTCGCAGATCGGATTTTATTGCCCTGGAGATCCACGAGGGGAAGCCGAGACTGGTCCTGGACAAGGGAAACGGAGCTGTCGGTCTCAACAGGTAAGTGTTATGGATGGCTGCTCTCGAGCGGTGTCTGTCTGGATGTCTGTTTTTTTCTTTTTGTCTAGCTGGCTGTTTGTCAGTCTGTCTCTTTCTCTTTCTCCCTCTGCCGATTCCTCTTCCTCTTTTTCTCTTCCTCATCCTCTTCCTCACTCCCCCAATCCCTCCTTTCCTCTTCCTCTCTCCCTCTCTCCCTGTCTTGCTTCCTCTCTACGTTTTACTCAAATCTATTTATTTTTTTCTCTCTTTTTACTTCTTCGTCATTCGCCTTATCTCTCCCCGAGCACGACTCGCTCCACGAAGATTTCCTGTCCTTTCCCCTCGTCCTTTTTCTCTATCTTTAAGGTCCAACAACTTCTCGTCATTTAAGGTTTCTCTGTTTTTGGTGGTGATGGATAATAGGCCTATGTGCTAGGAAAAAACAACTTTTGTTTGATCACTTTCTTTATGAGGAGATCCTTCCAAAAAGCTGATTCATGTCGTAAGTTAAAAAAAAATACATTTTTTTTTTTTTTTTTTAAATCTTTTTTTTTTGTTTCTTTTCATTTGTTATTTATTCAAAAGAGGTAAAATGATTCATATTTCAAGTTTAGAGACAAGATTCAACTTTCCTTGAGAATACAAATAAACAGGAGAGATAATTATTTTTATGTAATTCTTCAACTCAGATGGATGTTATAGTATCGCTTCCAAATCCATATCCGTCTGTCTGATACCCCCTCCCCCCCCACCTAACCTCCAGGTCCACCTTTTACACCATCTTTCTCGCCATCTGTCCACGACACTGTCTATCTATCTACAACACTCTCGCCCTTCTACAACCCCATCCACCTCACACAGCATCTTTCTCGCCATCTATCAACAACAGCATCTGTCTACAACACCCCCAGCAAACAGCCCAACCCATCACTTACACTATCTGTTTCACCATCTGTCTATAACACCCCATCTAACAACCCAACCCACTTCTTGCACCACATTTCTCACCATCTGCTCACAACGTCATTTGCCTATAACACCCCATCTATTTCCACCACCTGTCATACCATCTACCCACAGCACCATCTGCCTATAATACCATCTGCCCGCAACGCCATCTGCCTATAACACCACCTGTCTCACCATCTGCCCACAGCACCATATCTTCACAACACCATCTGCCTACAACGCCATCTACCTATAACACCACCTGTCTCACCATCTACCCACAACACCATTTGCCTACAACACCATCTACCTATAACACCACCTGTCTCACCATCTGCCCACAGCACCATCTCTCCACAACACCATCTACCTATAACACCACCTGTCTCACCATCTGCCCACAACACCATCTGCCTACAACACCATCTACCTATAACACCACCTGTCTCCCCTTCTACCCACAGCACCATCTACATCAGCGACGGCGTGTGGCACCATCTGGAGGCCCACTTCAAACCCACGTACATGGAACTTAACGTCGACGACCACATAGAGGACCAGCCCACGCACATCGGCGAGAATAAGTTCTTTGACCTTTCCGGGTACCTTTTCGTGGGCGGAGTCGAGGTTAACAAGCAAGCGAGGGCGGTCAAGCAAGGGGCCAGGAACGGGGATAAAAGGTCGGTGTTTTTAGTTTGTTTGTTTTTTTCTCTTGTGATATTGGTTTTTGTTTTTGTTTTTCTTATTGGATTGTGTTCTTTGTTTAGGATTTGATTGTAAGTAGACAAGGTGGAGGATGGATGATTGCTTTTCTTTCCTTGTTATTATTATTATTATTATTATAAAAAACGGAAAGATGATTAGACAGAATGTTTTACTTGTCTCTTTTATCTATCTTATAAAGAATATAAATAAAGCACCTTGCCTGTCTACCTCTGTCTATCACATAATGAATAAAAAGACGAGGCCCTTACCTATCTATCTTTTCTACCTTATATAAAATAATTAAAAACGGATAGATAAAAATTAATCAAATCCCTTGCCGATCTACCTTATAAAAAAGGAAACGGTAGATTAGCATAAGTAATATCTAACATATCCATAATAAATTAATAATAAGTAAAAAACAAAAAAACAAAACAAAAAAAACGGGCAGATATAGATAAATATAATCCCTTGCCGATCTATCTTATATAAAAAAGGAAACGATAGATTATGCTAAGTAATATCCCCTTGCCAAACTATCTTATATATTTCATACCAAATGAGAAAAAACAAAACAAAAAACAAACAAACAAAACAACGGACAAATAAAAATGGACGAAATCCCTCTCCCACCAGCCTCGAGGGATGCATTCAGAACCTGTTCGTGGGCGAGCGGAGACTCAGCATCCGAGAATCTCGTGTCACCCTGGGCATCAAGGCAGACTGCAACTGGGCATACCCTTGCTTAAAGAACCCTTGCGTGGATGGTGCCCGTTGCGTGCAGGAGGGGACGGATGGGTTCAAGTGCGAGTGCGATTTGGCCCTTTGCGTGCGCCAGAACTTCACGACGGCGTATAAGGTGTTCACGAAGACCACGCTGCCGTTCAATCTGGAGGTGAGACGATGGCGTTCTGTTTTAAAGAGGAAAGGGGAAGGGTTGACGGTGAGGGAAGGAGGGGGGGGGGAGGGTGAAGGAAGAGCGAGAGAGGGGAGGAAGGGAGTGAGTGAGTGAATGAGTGAGTGAGCGAGGGAGGGAGCGAGCAAGTGAGAGTGAGTGAGTGAGTGAGTGAGTGAGTGAGCGAGTGAGTGAGTGAGTGAGCGAGCGAGGGAGTGAGCGAGCGAGTGAGTTAGTGAGTGAGTGAGCGAGTGAGTGAGTGAGTGAGTGAGCGAGCGAGTGAGTTAGTGAGTGAGAGAGCGAGTGGGTGAGTGAGTGAGTGAGGGAGGGAGGGAGGGAACGAGCGAGCGAGCGAGTGAGTGAGTGAGTGAGGGAATGAATGAGTGAGTGAGTGAGTGAGTGAGTGAGTGAGGAAGGAAGGAAAGAGGGATGAGGGAGAGACAGTTGGGAAGAGAGAGGGAGATAGGGGAAAGTATAAAAAATGCAGAATACTCACGCCCACGCCCTTTTCTTACAGATCCTCAGCCTCACGCCCATGGAGGTGCAGGAAGGAGGCCAGGCTCTGATTACCTCACATCACCTCCACCTTGTCCTCGATTATGAGAAGGTGAGTTACGATTTCATTTTTTTTGTATGTGTGTGTGCGCGTGTGCGTGTACGTGTGTGTGTGTGTGCATGCGTGTGTGTGTGTGTGTGTGTGTGTGTGTGTGTGTGTGTGTGTGTGTGTGTGTGTGTGTGTGTGTGTGTGTGTGCGTGTGTGTGTGTGTGCCTGTGCCTATGTTTTCTGTATATTTGTCTTTTTGCATAAACCTACAATGATGTTTTATTTCTCTGTAATGTCTACATAAAATCTTTTAGATCGGAAAAGCCTTCGTGTAACTTACTACAACCGTAGCATTAAACAATCATCACAGCTGATATAAGGAATCATTCCTGCCTTTGAAAATCCCTTTGGCTTGTGTTTGCCTGAAATGTTATTCGAACAACAATGATTTGTGTTTATTATCTCTCTTTGGCTTCATTTCACAAAATTGTTTCCCCGCATAGCACTGTGTTCGTGTTCGATTAACCAAATAGACTTTTTGAAAAGACACTTTCCTGCTGTTGTGTGTAACTCAGTCTTTGTCAGTACATGCTATGACATGATATTAAATTCATACTTTGTAATCCATTTTGTAAGACCAATTATAGTCCCATTAGCGTTTATATTGACTTACTATTTCCGACCGTTCTTTTAACGACCTCTTTTTCTGATAGCTTTTATCAAAATTCGACTCTGTGTTTCCTGTTTTTCTCTCACTCTCTTTCTCTCTTCATTTTCCCCGCTCGTTACTCTATTTGATTTTGCAACGTTTGGAAATTCTTCTTTTAACAATGCTCGACTTCCCTCTTATCAGTATGTGCATTTATATGGCATTATTGAAACTTACGTAAGCATTTTCAATCATGCCTTTAAAAAATTCGTTGCCTACCCTTATCCGTAGATGTATTCGTGTTGTTGTAGTTATGTGTACGTAAATATTTCAAATAATCCTTATAACGAAGCATAATCTGCCTTTATTATTTGTCGGGATGGACTGGATGTTATAGTTCGTGTATTTTTGTTTACGTAAGTATTTCCAACAGTATTTTAGTGGCCATGGCCTTCCTTTCCCAGTCCTTTTTTGCTTAATAATTCCAATGGCCCCTTTTATCGACGAAATGCGACCGGCCCTTATCAGACGTCGTGATCAATAGGATGGTGAAATTTGATAGTTTATTAAAGTTTACGTATTCCCAACCTTTTTTTTCGTGGAATATGACTTCCCGTTATAAGCGTATACTTTCAGGCAACTGCATTTATGTTTACGTAAGAATTTTTACAACAGTCGTAAAAAGATATATGTATATGATCGCCATAAACAGTAGGCCTATATGGTTTAACATAACTTAGGTACTTTAATTCCAGCCATTCTACGTTGAGGAAAAGTTACCTGCCTTTATTAGTCCTCAGGATGAATAGGATATTGTAATTCATGTTGTAGTTATGAGTCCTTACGTCATTCCAGCAACCATCCCTTGTCGCACCTCACCCTCCTTCCCTCCCCTCGGACAGTTGTTATTCATGCTGTATTTCTGTTTACTTGTGTCATTGCAACAATCACAACAATCATTTCTTGCATTTCGACCCCTTCCCCCCCTCCCTCTCTCCCCACGGATGGTCGCAATGTTGCATATATGTTTTCTTACGTCATTCCAACAACGATCCCTCCCACATCCTCCCTCAGACGATCGTAATGAATAACCTAACACTTTAACATTCCATCGAACAATCGCAATTCATATTGCAATATCGTCGTGTTCTCGCTCCCTCACGCCTCCTGCCTCTCCCTCCTCCAGTATGGCGTGAGGGAATCGGGCGTCCACTTCCACGTGATCACGCCCCCCTCCCGAGGCCGCCTGGACGTCGACCTCCCGCGACGACCCGAGGACACCATCTTCACCCTGCTGGACCTCAACGACGACCGCGTGACCTACATCCACGACGGTTCGGAGACGACTGAAGACTCCATCGTACTCGAGCTGGAGTTCGTGACGCGCTCGGGCTACATCCTGCCGTCGTATCTGCAGGTAAATGGGAGAGCTTTTTTCGTTGTTTTATTTTCTTTTTTTTTTTTTTTACCTATTTTTAGTGGACGAAGTATGTTGTTTTTTTGCTTGCGCTTAATTTATGGGAAGTTTGGAGGTTTGTTTTTACTGTTTGTATTGTTTGTTTATTTATTTACTAGTTTGTTTGTTTGTTTATTTATCTCTTTATCTCTCTATATATATATTTATTTACTGGGAAGTTTAAAAGTTTATTTTTATTATTTATTCGCACGATTGTTTTATTTGTTTATTTATTTATTTATTTGTTTTTCTTTCTATTTATCCATTCATTCATTTATTTACGTATCCATTACTCCATGTACGTATTTAAGGGTAGGGATGTAGTCTTATAGCTGTGATAGTTTATGTAGCGGCAACAGAGACAACAGTTGTGTGATGAGACTTGTAAGTAATGATGTTGGTTACTGTCAGTGTTTTCATGCTCACTTTTTATCGTCATTTTCTTTCTGGCTTTGTGTGCGTGTACGGCACAAGGAATTTTATATCAGTGTTTTGCTACAAGGGATAAATTGTAGTATTTTTGTGTAAAATTCTCTTCTAGTCCTTTTTTCCAACCCTTCCTGCCTACAAGGGATAAATTGTAGTATTTTTGTGTAAAATTCTCTTCTAGTCCTTTTTTCCAACCCTTCCTGCACTTACCTGTGTGTTCTTGGATGTTACACATTAAAACGCTTCAGTAAAAGCATTTCTGTATTATTTTATTTATTTACTTTTTTAAAGTATTTTTTTACCCTTTCCCTTTCCGCCTTGCTCTTTTATGCAAGCTTCCTGTGTCACTAACATACGTGGAGGAAATTCTCCGCGGTTGTGGAGCGCACCCCCTCCCCCCCCCTCCCTTAAATCCACCCTGCCCCTCGAATCCACTGCGATCCAGAAGGGCGAGACGCATTTCCTTAATTTGACGAAGAACTGATCAGGATTCATCGCCAAGTGACTCCTGTGATGACTTCCTTGATGATTTCTTTGACTTGTTTGCCCTTCTCTCCTGCCTCGCGTCAGTCCCGCCCCCCTGAGGGCGTGAAGGGGCACAGCTGCGAAGCCACCCATGAGCACGGTGGACGCCGGCGTGGGCGAGTGGGCGTGCTCGTCCCTCGCCACTTCCTCCAGGTATGCTGCCTCGCTCCTCGCCGCGCCCCTTCCGGCCGCCTCACTCGGGGCTCCGGAGGAGAGAGACGCGGCATGCTCGCTTTCTCTCTCTCGGCCTCGATTCGAAAACAAAACAAAAATCTGGCATTTGACCCCCTGGATTGTATAAGGATTTGGAAATCAAAACGAAAAAAAAAATGAAAGAAAAAGGAAAGAAAATCTGTGATTCGAGCCAAATTCCAGTCATTGACGCACCCCAGGGGCCTCGCTCGCAACGGCGCCAAGCCTGGTCCTTCCTCCAGAGCGGGCGCCTCAGTCACCGCCCTTTGCACACGGCACCGTGATTGCTTTGTGGCATGAATGGGCACGGGTTGCCCCCCCCCCCTCCCCGCGCCGCCTCCCTCCCGTGCAGAACAGCCGGGTCACGTGACGCTTGCATGGCACACTAAATCCAGTCAGAGAGCTTCCCGGGACACGAACGGCGCTGCTCGATTGTCACCCAAACTCAGTCTTGACAAAGGAATGTGAGCGAGTATGTATATATGCGAGTGTGTTACGCACATACACATTCGCGTACACGCACACGCGCACGCGCACGCACACGCACACGCACACGCACACGCACACGCACACGCACACGCACACGCACACGCACACACACACACACACACACTCACGCTCACGCTCACGCTCACTCACTCACTCACTCACTCACTCACTCACTCACTCACTCACTCACTCACTCACTCTCTTTCTTTCTCTCTCTCTCTCTCTCTCTCTCTCTCTCTCTCTCTCTCTCTCTCTCTCTCTCTCTCTCTCTCTCTCTCTCTCTCTATCTATCTCAAACACACTCAGTATATATACATACATATATATATATATATATATATATATATATATATATATATATATATATATATATATATATATATATAATATGCATCGTTAAGAATAAGCAAGAGGGGCAATTCGGACACGAGGCATTGGCCGATCAGCATTGTGGTCGCGTGGGAATTCATGTCACCAAGTTCATGTCACGCGGGAGGTCATGGCGCCCGAGGGGTCATGAGGTCAAGGCACTCAAGGGGTCATTCTTCAGTCAAGGTGCTGGGGGGAAGTTGCTCGCTTTCTCCTTAGTCACTTAGTCACTCCCTTGGCATTTTGAATGTAGATTTTTTTTTTAATCTATTTTTCGTCTCATTTTCTTGAATGTTGATGGTATCCCTTTTTTTTTTAGCTTCTGTTTTAGCTTTCGAAGTTGTTTTTGTTTTTTTGTTGTATCTCTGGTTTTCTCTAACTTCTTTTTTGGGGGTCCGTTTTGTATTTCTCTCGCTTTCTATGTTTGTCTCACTTCATGATTTTATTGTCTCTTCCT